TTCCCTCCTTTAAGTTGTTTTTCTCATGTATTATGTCACAGTGACCAACAGTGAATTGGTTACATTCCGTCACTGAATCTGTGGGCCCCATCAATCTTTGGTCCTAGGCCTCCTGATTACCTGGGACTATAGGTGTGCCCCAATGCACCCAACTTCTTGTTAATCTTTCTCACAGAGTCTCTGATACTTTCACTTTTTCTTTAATTATTTTACTTTCTTCTGTCCCATACCACAGTTTATCCAAATGTCCCATCCTCTCCCCATTTGTGGCCCTGGCTGTCCTTGAGCAATTTGGCTCTGGGTTTGCACTTCTATTTATTTCCGGATTGGATCTATACCCCCAAATTGACCATAAGTTCAGTTCCCTGAACTTAAGTTTCCTTCTTACTATCCAAAAGATACCTTATGGGCTGGGGTTGTGGCTCAGTGGTAGAGTGCTCACATAGCATGTGTGAGGCACTGGGTTTAATCCTCAGCACCACATAAAAATAAATAAAAGGTATTGTGTCCACATTTTTTTTTTTAAGGTACAGTTTTATTTTTTTTCCAGCTTTTATTCCTTTAACATCTTAACAAAAGAAGATTTCCCAAAGTTTAAAAAAATCTTTGAAAAATATACAGTTTCATATTATTTACACAATATATGAGTACAGGTTTCAATATCATACAAATATTGTAATGTTAGAAACACAGTTGGAAGGCGTGATGTAACTCACTGCTTTTAGATGAAAGACCAATGGACAAGTTCTCTTATTTCAACTATCTTTGTTACTTGTTATCCTGATATATGAACTATTAGGCATCTGAGAGGCTGGAAGACTACTGAACATGAGATGAGCTTCAATACCTTCTATTTTGTTTGAGCTTATTTATTTTTAAAACTTACCACACTTATCTCTTTACCACTTTGCTTCATTCACAGCTAACTTTATTCTCACTACCCTAAATGACCAAATAATAACCACATGAACTGTTAATGTATACATGAATCTAAAAATCAAACATAAAAATGAATAGCCAAGTTATATAAGATATATATTTAATCCCAGGCAAGTCCCTATGGCTTCAGAGGAACTTAGATTCTAGAGACAGGGGTCAACACTTCAGTTTCCATGCTCTGAACTATATTTTTAAAAAACATAAAAAAGGACTGACAATAATTGGAATAATTCATCTCTTTATATTCAAGAAACCTAAGATTAAAAATTCTAAATTATAGTTTTATTTATACTTAAAAATACATTGGAAATTCTGCATATGCCCATGATCAAGCTTATTTTCAATGCACATTACTTCAATTTTGATGACATGGTTTGTTCTGACAAGTCCTTTTACAAGCTGAACACCAAAATAGGGAAACTCCTGTAATCTCAGCCACTCAGAAGGCTGTGGTAGGAGAAATGCAAATTCAAGACCAACCTCAGCAATTTAGCAAGGCCCTAAGGACAGCAATTTAGTGAGAACTTATCTCAAAATAAAACATAAAAGGGGGGGCTGGAGATGTGGCTCAGTGGTTAAGTGACCCTGGGTTTAATTCCCCGGTACCAAAAAATAAAAATAGTCAACTAGAATCCACCAAAGGAACTGAGTTTCTGTGTTACCTCCAGGGGTAGTTGCTGGCCTTGTATCTGGCCATTAAAAGGGCTTGGTATAGACTGTTCCTTCTGCTGGGAATGTTTACTCAGTACCTTGTCCATCTCCATGTGCTGAGACAATTCCTCAACCTTCAAGTTTCAGCGTATTTCACATTCTTTAGGGAATCCTTCCTGACTCCTTGTCCAACTTATCCTTTCCCTAGGGTAAGGTGTGTTTTTGTTGTGGTTCTTGTTTGTTTGTTTGTTTTTAAATACTGGGATTGGGAATTGAACCAAGGGTGCTCTAATCACTGAGATACACCCCTAGTTTTTCCAATTTTTTGTTCTGAGACCATCTCACTGAGTTGCTGAGGCTGGCCTCCAACATGCAATCCTCCTGCCTCAGCCTACTAAGTAGCTTGAAATGCCATACATGTTTAAAATCTTTATAGCCCTTTTCACCACTATGCTTGGGTATTTATTATTTAATAAGTATCATTATTTAATAAAAATTCCTTACTAGTCTATAAGCTTCAAGAGACTTTGATGTGCACACAGTCACCATAAGATCCTATTAAAATGCAGATTCTGATTAAGTAAGTCTGAGATAGGCCTGAGAATTTCCATTGCTGATAGCATCCTTACCTCACCAATGCCAAATTAAAGTGTAGTCAGCATCCCACACTTCCAGAATCAAAGGTTCAGCTCTCTTGGGCCTCTTGTTCCCTACCCTTCTCTAGTGTCACAACCACTGGGCAAGTTTATCAAAGGGTTTTCCAAAAATCAGCCTTATGATGTGCTCTAGTGTCACTAGCTAATGTATCTTCTCTCTTTTCTTTAATCTGATTTTTAAAAAAATACTCTTTTTAGTTGTATATGGACACAATACCTTTATTTTGTTTATTTATATTTTTTATGTGGTGCTGGGATTGAACCCAGTGCCCCATGCTTGGCAAGTGCTCTACCACTGAGCCACAACCCTGGCCCCTTAATCTGATTTCTTATCAGGATTCTCAGGGTCCCACAAAGAATACCCTCCAATTTTGGGGAACAATTAAGGTAAAAAGAAAGAGGTACAATCTTAAAGATTTAATTTTAATATAAAGCTGACTGAGGAATGCTTAATACGTTTGCTAATCTGCCCTGCCTTTGAGGAATCAGCAACTTTATTCTTTTTTTTTTTTTTTTTTTTAGTTGAAGATGGACACAATACCTTTGTTGTATTTATTTATTTTTATGTGGTGCTGAGGATGGAACCCAGTGCCTCAAACAGGTGAGAGGGGCGCTCTATCACTGAGCCACAACCCCAGCTCAGCAACTTTATTGCAGCTGTCAGTTACACCCGTGGTCAATATGTCCTGGTCACAAACCACATAAACAAGTGGAGAACTCTCATGTATCTTAAAGATGTCAGTTCAGAGAGAGAAGGTGCTGGGTTTCATGGGATAACTTCTTTTCTTATCTTTACAAGCGGGACACTCCTGTCATAGAGAGAGGGTCCAAGGGACAGAGGGAGTCAAGGGCACTACTGCAGTGACTCCCACCTGGAGACATCAGGCCCTCCTAGAGAGCCCCCAGTACTTATGGGTAGTATAAAGTAAGACAAAAGGTTTTTTCTTTACATTGAATTGAGAAAATGGGCACTTGTATTTTTTCTTGACACTCTGGGAGAGAAATTATGATGGGGATGGGGTGCCACCTTCTGAAGAAAGAGTACTTGGGAAATACTGCAGTAGCATAGAGCCAGGCGTGGTTACTAGGCAGGACTGGCCCAGCAACCTCACAGAATACTTAGGGAATTGTAAAGAGCAAAGTAAGGCTGTTTCTCCATCATTTGGGTTGTTTTCTTCCATTTCTTCTTTCTTCTGCCTCTGCAGTTCTCATCAATGAGTAAAATAAATGGATGTTTTACTTTGAATCTTCTGACCAAAGCAATGATAAGTAGTCATCAATCCCAATTAGTATTCACGTGGCCCATGACAGACTCTCTGCTACCAGACTTTAGTCAGGCTCCTCTGAACTCTCTTTTCAGGTATCCTGAGCCTTGGGACTTCTCTATCTTGCCATGGCCCAGGTTCAGCAAAGTTCCTACTAAATTACTTGGTAAGAGTCCCCACTCTTGGTGTCTGACCACTCAACATCTGATCAAATTTCTCCTCTACCACCACTGGAATCAAGTCACCCCAGTCACCCAGCCTGCCTTCAGTTACAATTCTGTCAATGTGGCTTAGCTAGAATTCCCCTTAGTCATGATCATTCTTTTTAATTTTCTACCCAATGGCCCCTATCCTGCTTATGGGCTATGAAAACAGCACTGACCCATGCTGTATGTGAAATTGAGCCAAGTTTTAGACTTGAGTTCACATTCCCTATTGTAATAATGCCTGTATTAAATCTGTTTTCACTATGTTAATCTCTGTCTAGCTCTTGTTTTGACACCTACTCCCAATATCAAATAAGGTCACTATTTTTTTTTTTTTTTTTGAGATAGCAGAATTACCAAAGTCAAATGGGAAAGGTGGATTCATTGCATTTTAATGATCAAATATGTTTGATATTTACCTCATGCTAGATGCTACACAGGGTATCAGACACACACTATCCCTCCCCTCTTGGGACATTTGATGTGGGCAATAAAACAAAAGAACCAACTGATCAATATTTATTACAAACCTTTTGCATATGATAATAACTTTAAGGACCTTTAAAATCACAAATTTGACTGCTTTACCTTGAAGGACTATGGTGATGGAATAAAAGCAGAGTAGCAAATAGAGCTGGACTCCATCACTGCCCTCATAGCTCCTAAACTGGTTTAACGTCACGATGGCCAGTGGGGAGTGGATATGAGTTTCAGAGAAAACGGAACAGGATCAACAATGAAATGAAAGAGCAGCAGAGCCTGACCTGACATGAGCAGCCAAGGTTGCACACAAGTTGTGGATGCAACTTGATGCCTCTTCTTTATCTCAATCTTACCTCCTCCATACCTCCATCTTACTTCAACTGAAACCAGTGATTCCACTCCTCTATTAAATGACATCTTCAGTGCATTTGTGCTAACAAATGAAACCCCAGGTCTTACATTTGCTTTACAGGTTCCCTCCAATCAGATTTCCCTCTTCAAGACCCTTATGTTCCAGCAACACTGTTCCTGGGGGCTCTCCAGGCTGCTTCTTGCTCCCATTCCTTTGCTTAGGCCAACCCTCCACCAGGAATGTCCTTTGCCCCAGCTGAGCCATTTGTCAGCAAGAACATTTTTGGAAATCTGAATGCTTCTCTGGGTCCACTGTGCATATCTTTTACTGATACCACTGTGTCATAATGACCTGTTTGTGTGGCTGGTTCCCTTTTGACACTGTGAGTTGATGAATGCAATGGCTATATTTTAGAATTCTCAAGCATCCAACAGAGTCACCCAGTGAATGCTTATGGAGGACAATAAAAATCTTTAATGCAGGAAAGAGTTTAAGGCAGCATTTGGTAGTGGTTCAGATCACAGGTAGGCTTAAAAGTCCAGTTTTGCTATTTACTATCTGGTTGACTTCAAACAAGGTTTTCTGGTTCATTAATGAGAGGCATGCCCACGCCCTTCTCATAGGGCTGTGGGGAGGAGTAAATGAAAACAGCATACAGAGCATTTGGCTCAGCTCAACCAAGGTAAGTTCTTTCCTCATCCAAACTGCATAGTCCCAATCCAAAATATCACCCCAAAGCAACTACTACAGTAAGATAATCCTGTTTAGCTAATGTTTAATTATAAGAATAAAGGTCAATTCTTGATAAACATCAAACTCTGATCCAATCCAAGAGCCCTGGGTCACTTCCTCCTCACTTCTTTGGAAGGCAGTATTTCTGGATTTCTTCTGCAAGAGACAGGCAGTGCAGGATGCGCTTCTTTTCAGCTGCCAGTTCCTTCTCAGAGAACTGGCCTAAGAGTTTCTGGACAAATATATTTTGATCTTTTAGGAAAATGTTCTTATTGACACCTACATTTGGCACATTCTCCAGGGACCCAGATTTGAAATGGAAGCTTAAATATCTGTTTCGTTTTAGACCAGGTCCTTTCTCTTCAATCCATGACAGTGGACTGCAAAGACAAGAGAATCTTATTGTTAAAGGTTACACGGGAATGGAAATCGGTGTTTGTTGGCACCTGACCTCCTGGTATAGGTCTGTATTTGGTACCCACCTTCCCTGCAGCTGTGGCTCAGTGGCATCCTGATCTCCACCACCTCCCAAAGGCCATGGGTGGCTGTGTTTCCAACTTTACTGCCAAACAGTCATTTATGCATGTTTGCTACTGGGCAGGTGGATTTTTTGAAAGACTTTTGTGTAAATGTCAATTTGTTCTTATAGATCCTTTAAGGGGATCCTGATATGGACCAGATGACAGCCACCTGGATTGTGTGCAAACTGTTTCCTTGGTATATGTATTATTGATAAGGACAAATTCTTAGACTTCTTTCATCAGAAATTCAAAAGAAGTCTCTGAACTCAAACGTATTCCAAACAATACCCACCACTAGTTAACAAAGAACCTCCATATCTGTTTCATATTTCTGGTTGGGGTTCACATCAACACTCATAAAAATCTACAATCCAAGTAGGATAAACTTGCCCAATCTCTCTCCTTTCCCTGAGTTGTTTCTCTCTTTAGGAAAGATAAGAATTATGATACCTGCTTAAAGAACACTGAGCTATCTCTTAAGTAGAACTGACTTACAAGTAAATAGCTTCATTGAATATTATGATAGAAATCTACTTTTGTAATTTTTTTGTTGTTTTTACAGTGCTGGGGACTGAACCCAGGGCCTTGCACATACCACTGACTTCCACTCTAAGCCCTGCTCTTTCAAATATACTATAAAAAACTATAAAACAATAATTTAAGTATTTCTAAAATGGAAAAAAATTTCACAAATTCTTGTACCTAAGTAAACACATCTTCAGTTTAACACAATCTTTTCAAATATTTATCAATATACATAAGGTTTGTATATGGCACATAAACCCTTAAACAATAAAATTCCCCCTCTTTGGTACTGGGGATTGAACCCAGGGTCTTGGGCATGTGAGGTAAGCACTCTAACACAAAATTACACCCCCAGCCCCTTTTAAAATTTTATTTTGAGACAAGGTCTCATTAAATTACCCTAGGCTGGCTTCAAATTTCATGATCTGCTTCATCCTCCCAAGTAGCTAAGATGACAGGCATGGGCCACTTGTACCTGGTAACAATTTTTGATCATTTCTTTTGCTTATTTAAAAATAATTTAATGATCCTGTATATTCTGCCATTGTTTTTTCTACATATATGATTGATTACATAATTTTTTACTATTGCTAAATATATGCACCTTTTCCAATTTTAAATTTTGGATACCTGAATTCAACATCTTCACATATGTCAATGTGTGGGTACATTCATATGTCAATTTGGCACACATATATATCTTTTCCTTCTCTTTTTTTGTAACAAAGTCCCAAGAGTGAAATGACATGGTGTTGGTCCTCGTTAACACTCTTTGCTTTCTCTTTTCTTTCACTACTGGGATGAGCCAGGGTCAAGGACAAGGTAATTTTGTTGGACTGTTGAATTCAGTGACAGAGCTGGCAGTGTGAACAGGAATGGTGTTAATCCTAAACAAACATCACACTGGGGCCTGGAATTTCTACTCCCTCCTATTTGTCTGCAGATGTCAAGCCTGGGGTGAGCAGGCGGATGAGCCATGGTAAAGAATACAGGGAAATCACCATCATCCTTTTTTTTTTTTTTGTTATTTGCTTCCAGAATGGTGTGCCATAATAATGCAGCAGGATTTAGTAAAAGGATTGCAAGGAGGACACTGAAGATTGTTTTGGGTGTTGCAGGAAGCACAAGGCTGCCTCCAACTTGAGTGGATAATTCCCATTTGTGTTGACCTGATTAGATTAAGGAACAGCTAAAAACCTGGAAGAGCATTACTTTTGAGTGTGTCTGTGAGGGTGTTTCCAGAGGAAGTTAGCATGTGACTTTGGGTGGACTCAATGGGAAAGTTCTGCTCTCAGTGTGGGTGGGTAACATTCAATCAGTCAGGACCCTGGAGTGCACACAAAAGGCTAATTGGATTCTTCCCCTGAGAGTGGGGGCATGCTTATCTCCTGCTTTGTACTTTTCTAAGTCCACGTTCTCTGGTCGTTGAACATAACACCAATGGACCCCTTCCTAGTTTCTCAGGCTTTCAGCCCTGAACCAAGAGTTACACTCTGGGGTTCCCTGATTCTGAAGCCTTTGGACTTGTACTGAGCCATGGTTACCAGATCCTGGGGTCTCCAACCTGTAGACAGTTTATCATGGGACTTCTTCACATGAGCCAATTATATAATAAATACCCTCTAATCTATTTATATACAAATCATATTGGTTTTGTCTTTGGAGAACCCTGATATACTGGGGGAAGGTTAGCCCTCTCCTGGGTTAACCTTACCAAGACCAACACTGGAGTGTAGGACAATGCTTAAGAGGAAGAGATCTGAAGTGCATAAAGTGGGGGCCACAGTGTAGCCACACATGCAGGAAGAAACCAGGAGAGAAGATTATAGAACAACTTCCACATTTTGTGGCCCTGTCTTCTAAAAATCTGGAAAGTTTTACTCTTTTCTACTTGAAGGTTTAAGTGAGAACCCTGGCAATGGGCACTTCCACCTGGTGGAGTGGAGCTAACGAGAGGGCCTGCTCCATTCACATGCTGGGCTGGGACAGCAACTAATTCCAGGCATTCCAACAAAAACACAGGCCTAAGTTCGCAGGCAGTTTCTCTGGAACTCCTCTCTCTCTCTGATAACCTTCATTTGCAAATATTTGCAGGATAAGATGGTTTCTTTCCCACCAGAAACAACATGCTGTATCAAGAGAACATAAACCCAGCAGGGTCCAACCTGCTCTGAAGAACTAAGTTCAGCTAGTTTTCTGTGCTGAAAGTGATTAAATGTTTCCTGTGTGCTTAGTACTAGCCCAGAAATAAAAAATTCCTATTCAGGTCTGACAAAGATTCCAGGAAACAGCCATTATATTGATCAAGTAAGTAAAACTATAGGGATCAAGCCATCATACAAATTAATGACGGTTACAAACTCCACCAAAAAGTTGGTCTCACTTCATCTAAAATTAACTCTCCTGGCTAGTTTTGAAAGTTCACAGTGCAGCCTTGCAAATGTTCCAAAATGTGATAACAAAGATTAACTTTAATATAACTTATTCCTTTATTTTGACAGTGGATAAAAATAAATCTGGGGTATTCTAAACTGTCTTATCTTCCTAAGAAAATTTTTCATGTCTTTCCAAATAACATGGAGTCTTGAGGTTTGAGTGATAGAAGATGTCAAGATGTTTCTGTTCCTCTATTCCCGTCTCAGTAAAAATGAAGTAATCTTAGCTGGGTACAGTAGCGCACACCTGTTGTCCCAGTACTTGGGAGGCTGAAGGAGGAGGATCACTTGAACCCAGAAGTTCAGGGCCAGCCTGGGCAACAAAGTCGGACTCAATCTCTTAAGTAAATTAATAAATAATAAAGCTGGTATTAATTACATGAGTGTCTTAAGACAATCTGCTTGAATTTTGAAAGCTGCTCTTCACTTACTGGCAAATGGGTTTTTGTTGGTCTTTGCCTCACATTGCTGCTGTGAGGATGAAAAGAGGTAACGAGTGAAATCACAGTTCGTTACCTGCGGTAGCAGACAGATCTAGAGTTGAAAGAGAGTGAGAGTTCTCAGGGCTCCCTCTCGGGTCACCCTTTTGGACAACTGAGGAGATCCTGAAGTTTGCTTCTCCTCAGTTTCTCAGGACTTACCATTTGTTTTCAGTCTCCAAGTGCACAGTCATTTTCATATACTGATCTTCTTTTCGCTCTTCCAAAGTGGCAGACACAAGGGAGAGCTCCCCAAAGAGAGAGACCAGCCAGGTCAGGCGAGAGATGCCACTGAATGCAGGGAAGCCAAACCGTTCTTTTTCCAAAGGGCCAGCTGTAGGGAATCACAGACACCATGGGAACTGGGAATAAAGGGCTGCCAGATGAAAAACAAGACCCAGAACACAGCGGGGAGTGAAAAAAACAGGGCCAGGTGATCAGGACAAGAGACCAGGCCTTATGGGGTGGGTGCACACAAAGATGAACAGGTGGGTAAATGTAAACTCTTTCACAAAAGGATCTCCCCCTTTTTTTTTTTTAATGAAATTCAGTCTTGTTAGTAAAGTAAGAAATTCTACTGGCAACAGCAGTCACTCCAGACAAAGAGAACAATAAAAAAGTTTTGGGTTTCTAATATATTCAATGCATTTATGTACATATACATAGATAATTACATATCCATACATACATTTCCTCTTCTATTAGTGATTACAAGTCATCTGGTAAAAGTTGAAGAACAGGGGTATTTTATCCCTGAAATCTAGGTTCATATCAATACCATATATGTAAATGGAATGGGGCAAAGGTCATGATAGCTTGAAAGGCTGAGAGAATAGTAATAATTTTAAGCTAGTTTAACATTAATAAGGTTGATCTAGTGTGAAATATTTTCTTGGTCTTTATATAATCTTGTGTTAAGGGGGAAAAAAAAGCACACCTAATATCTGTGTGTAAATCGTTTGGTCACAAACAATACTGCTTCACTCTGCCCAAGCCCAAATATTAAAACATGACCTAAATTTAAAAGGCTTCATATCTGTGTCCTTATATATTATAAACCAAACATGTCTTGAGACTTTGAAATTCACCTAACATAATGAGTATGTTTTAAAAATAGTTATAAATAAAAGCAAACAATCATTAGTGAAATCTTTAGGATCGAAGTATCAATTTTAGAAAGGAAAAGAGCTTCCTCTGTACAGATCACCAATTGCTCTAGTCCTGAGTCCTGAGCAGCCGCTAGAAGCTTGAGCCACACAAAGTCCAACCTGTCTCTATCAAACGACCGGTGTCTGAACATGGTGACGCTATTCCTCTCTGAGCTAACATTTCTTCACCTATATTATGAGGGTAATAAATACCCACTTTATGGGACTCTCACGAATTAAGAATGCTTGTCACATTCTTAGCATAGTTCCATATACAAGTCAATGGTTATCCCTGGTTTCCACAACTTTCATGTCATTTTCAAGAACGAAGATAGATTTCAAAAAGAGGTTCCATTGTACAGTCTGGAAATTCATGCAGGGATAATTGGTCTTACAACTGAACAATACCTAGCCATGAAGGGGTCTGCTTTCTCTAATGAAAGCCCTCAGGAAAGATGGCCCTGATATCCCCGAGTATAGCCAGATAAGGAGTCCATCCAAAGTGCCACAAGAGCAGGTGGCTACATTATACTCACTTCCTATTGCTAACAGCTGCTCAAAGAATGACCAACATAAAGTCAATATTCCAATATATAGTAGACAAAATGCTGTGGTTGCAGGCCAATGTCCCTGTAACTTGCTGGAGGAAGAAAGGGGCCATGCATATTCTCTTTTCTCTGCAAGGAGAAGTATAAAAATATTCTTCATTCCAAGCACCCATCTCCCAGTCCTTTTTAAAAGAGTTTTCATGTACAACCTCCTCTAGAAACATAATCTCCAAAGATTTCATAAGGGAAAATTATGCTAAATAAATTGAAATGAAAGTATAAATTTGCATAAGATTTCTAATATACTTTTTGAGGCCCATGAAGCAATGAAATCTTTATAAGAAAATGAATAAAAATAGGTATTTTATTGCTCATGGAAGCATAGGGAAATTATATTAAATTGGCCTATGGTCAGAAAGTCTTTAGCAGAAATAAATCCTAGCTCACATCCTAGAGAGAAAGTAAGGAACCCAGCTGGCCTTCTGACCTCTTGTGACCTGTGATCCTTCCTAAAACTGACCTGTGAAGAGGAGAGACCCTTTCAGCAGTTCTTTTCCCACCACTTCTTTTTTCAGGAAAGCAAATTCCTCCATCAACAGTTCAATATGCTCCTCATGCAAGACTTTTCCTGTTTTGACAAAAATAGAATATGAAAGGCTGTCACTAACAGTTCTGTATAATCCTGGGATTATGTCTATTTTTCTTCAGAGGACACACAGAATTAAAAATAACTCCCTGGGCATACGGATGGCTACACCACGTACTACACACTTACACAACCTAGATGAAGTAGGTTCTAAGCCAAAGCTTACAGCAGAAATGAAAATTAAGGGAGCAGAATTGTATCCACCTGTCCTCAAAGGCAAAATAAGACCAGGGAAGTGTTGGAGAGCCAGCAGAGTGCTAGCTCATGTTCTAGACACTAGGGGGCAGTGCAGCATAAAAAGCTAAGGCAGAAGAAAATGAACTCTGAAGATTGAAGGGAGATAACATGACTATTCAAAGAGTTGGAAGAACTAGATGATTTTTTAAAAACGATCCTTCCTCCAAGGAAGGAGAAGGTCTTACTTAGATTAAAATAAAGCCATTAAATTTTTTTTTTGCCCTGGTGGACTTTTTGTATCTGGGTCAGAAGCTTTGTAAAATATTAAAACTATTTTGTGATTAAGGGCAAAGTACAGTTGTGATCGACAATTTCACTGAAGCAGAATCTGGGCCACTAGAAGTTGCTCCTGGGACACCTGTCTTTGTCCAACCCAGCATCACAGGAAACACCACCAATGTTCTCAGCTTATCTGTACCCCAGGAGTGAGCAGGTATGAATCCCTCTCAGTTGGCCTCCTAGCACATTTCCATGGCAACAGGAGTATTTTCAGATACACAGAGGCTTTCTAGCACAAAATGGCTTAGTTTGTAGAAACTAAATGGCACAACCCTGTCTGCAATAAATAGAAGCTTCTCTACTTGTGGGTAGTTCTGTCTATACTCTGAGGGGTCCCTGGGCAGCAGGGAAATTGGACTGTATTTGGAAGCATGCTGTGTTTCCATATCTGTGGCTATTAAAGAAGCTTTACATCTTCTAACTGCATCTTTTTTTTCCCATTCACTCCATGCTTTATTGTGATAAAACACAGTAACCATAGGGTGTATGTGTGTATGCACACACACATACTCATATACGTATACTCTACATTTTAAAACTGAAAGGGCCTAAAAGCAGAGACATCTGAAAACATTAAACATACTTAGCATCTAAATTTTAGCATCTATATATCATTGGCCATTGGAGAAACGGCTAATTCCAGGGCTGAGGCAGAGTACAAGAGTAGCCTAATTCATTTTGTGCGGAAAGCAGGAAAATACTCGAAGAATAATGGAAACATAACAACCTTCACCAAGCAGCATCATTAGTAATGGAACATATTGAATTAGGTGCCACCTGATAGAATGCAATGTGAAAAACACATTACTATTACTATTCAAGAAAGAAGTAGAGAGTAGAATGATGATTACCAGAAGGTGGAAAGGGTAGGGGGAATAGAGATGGGGAGAGGTTGGTCAATAGGTAAAAAGTTACAGTAAGATATGAGGAATAAGTCCATGGCACAGTAGGGCAACTATAGTCAATAAAAATGTATTATACATTTCAAGATAGCTAGAAGAAAGGATTTTAAAATATTTTAACACAAAAAAACATGTTTGAGGTGATGGGTATACTAATTACCCTTATTTGATCACTGTACAATGTATACATGTATCAAAATAACCCTGTTCCCATAACTTTGTAAATTATCAATTAAAAATAAAGTGAAACCGCTTCCTCATATTAAATAAAGGTCAAACTTTATTCAGATTTTTAGTTTTTACCCAACATGCCTCTTCTGTTTCAGAATCCCACATTACATTTAGTTGTCATGTCTCCTGGTACTCTTCTCGGGCTGCCAGGTTTCTCAGGCTTTCCTTGTTTCTTAATGACCTTGACAGTTCTGAAGAGGATTGATCAGATATTTTGTAAAATTTCCCTCAACTGAGAGTTGTCTGGTATTTTTCTCACGATTAGATTGGGTTATGTGTTTTAGGGAGGAAGACTACAGAGGCGAAAGGCCATTTTCATCTTTCACATCAAGCGTACATGCTATTCATATGACTCATGTTGACACTGACCCTGCTCATCTGGTGAGGTAGTGTTTGTCTGGCTTCTTTAGTGTAAAGATACTCCTATCCCCTCCTTTCTATACTGTAGTCTTTGGAAGAACACTACTATATACAAGGCATTATCTTTTTTGAAGAAAATTTAACCTATTATACTGTCTAGTGTTAGCTATACTTTGGCTCTGGAATGCCTGCCAAAGCCCTATGTGTTAAAGGCTGCATTGCAGCCATAGTGCTACTAAGAGGTGATGGGATCATGGAGGTGGGGTAGTGGAAGGAAGGTAGGTCATTGTGTAAGGGGGATAGAGAGACCTTCTCCATTTCCCAACTGTCTTTGCTTCCTGGCTTCCTCTGTCATGCACTCCTGCCATGATGTACCACCACACACCCAAAGCAATACAGCCAAGTGACCATGGACTTGAAACCTCTGAAACTGTGAGCTAAAATAAAGCTTTCCGCCTTGTAAGTTGATTGCCTCAGGTATTCTGCCATGCTAACATACTATTGTTCCACATTCTACTTTGCTCATATTTTTTTTATGTTTAACTTGTTCCTCTATCCCTATATTTTCTGTTAACTAAAAGTTTGATTTAAATGTCATTATATCTAGATAAACATTTTACAAGAATACCAGATGGCTGGTGATGTCAGATTAATTCATATTGGCTATCATTTTAGGTAATATAAAGCTCCTTATAATAATAGTACACTTTCTTCCCTTTGCAATTAGCAAGAAACCTGTGAGACATATTGTGGCACCTTGTACTTTCTCTATAGACATCTGTATCCTAAGAAATCACACAAGATGTGATGACCATAAAGCTTCCCCTACTTTCATTCACCTCTGTATTCATTCATCTGTTTGTTCATTCCACAGACATCTACTAAAGGCCTACTGAGTTCTAGGCAGTGTTTAGCTGCTGGGGCTATAGAAGTAGAAGATGGGCCCTGGCCTAGAGGAGTATATCCCAGTGTTTGAAAACAATAATCAAAAGTTTCAATAGGGCTGGGGCTGTAGCTCAGTGGCAGAGTGCTTGCCTAGCATGCATGAGGCACTGGGTGCACTTCTTAGCAACACATAAAAATCAACAAATAAAATAAAGGCATTCTGTCCATCTACAACTATAAAAACATTTTTAAAAAATTTCAGTAAAGTATGATCTGTCTACAATGGTGGTAAGCAAATACTTGTTGCTACACAGGTTTGAATATGGTTTGTCCTAACCAAATTCATGTTGAGGCTTGGGTCCCAATGTAGCAGGGTTGAGAGGTGGGACCTATAGCAAGGCATCTGCACCTCTGTGAATGGATGAATGCTTTTCTCATGTGTGTTCTTGCTCTTTTGGGAAATGAACTGGCTAAATGAAGAAGCCCCATTCTTTCTTTGTACATGCCAGTTTGTCTTTCTACTTTCCCCCATGTATGCAGCTGCAGGAGAGCCTCACCAGAAGCCAAACAGATGCAAACACCTGATCTTGGACTTCTGGCCTCCAGCACTCTATAAAGTAAAAACACTCTATAAAGTAAAAGCACTCTATAAAGTAAAGTAAAGTTCTCTTCTTTATAAATTATCTAGTCTCAAGTGTTCTATTATAGCAACAGAAAGTAGATTAAAACACCTATCTCCAAGGGTTTCTAGGAGAATTAAGCATATGAAATACTTCAAAGTTTCCAAGCTCCTGGCATGTAACATTATAGTTGCTCCTTTTGTGAAACAACAAAGACTAAAGTATGCAAATAAGATATTTGCATATTTTCCATTAACAATGTAAGTATCACATACATAAGACCAAAATAATGTCATGATACTAGCACAGTAGGAGACAATTTATCTTTAGTCATTAGAGTAAAAGTTTGCAAATACCCTTCCCTCTGGCCTCCGAGTACTGCTTCTGTATGGGAGTAGGAAGGATCTTGGGAGCCCATAGTACCAATATGGCCTGGAAAATATATCTGAGCTGGGCACGATGGTGCACACCTGTAACCCCAGCAAGTTGGGAGGCTGAGGCAAAAGGATCACAAGTTGAAGACCAGCCTCAGCAATTTAGCAAGGCCTAAGCAACTTAATGAGCTCCTCAAAATAAAAAAAATAAAAAGGGTCAGGGCTGCCGAGCACAGTGGTACACGTCTGTAATCTCAGCAGCTTCAGAGGCTGAGGCAGAATGATCACAAGTTCAAAGCCAGCTTCAGCAAAAGCGAGGTGCTAAGCAACTCAATGAGAACCTGTCTCTAAATAAAAATAGGCCTGGGGATGTAGCTTAGTGGCCAAGTACCCCTAAGTTCAATCCCCAATACTGAAAAAGAAAGGGTGAGGGCTATGTGCCGTGGTGCATACCTGTAATCCCAACAGCTCTGGAGACTGAGGCAGAAGGATCGAGAGTTCAAAGCCAGCCTCAGTAACAATGAGGCCCCAAGCAACTCAGTGAGGCCCTGTCTCTAAATAAAATACAAAATAGGGCTGGGGATGTGGCTCAGTGGTTAAGTGTTCCTGGTATGCAAAAAAAAAAACCAAAAGGTTACGGATATAGGGATATGGATTGGTGGTAGAGTACCCTTGGGCTCAATCCTCAGTATCAAAAAATATATATATATATACATCTGAGATTGATTAAATTTGAAAGGAGTAACGATTGACGATGGAACGATTTTGGTTTGGATCTCAAATGTCCTTCAAAGGCTGTGTCCTTCAAAGGTTTGATGTACAATGTAGCAATGTTCAGAAATGGGGCTTTTGAGAAGTGACTGGATCATGAGGGCTGTGACCTCATCAATGGATCACTCTATTGATGGGTTAATGAATGACTGGACTATTGAGAGGTGGTAAAAACTGTAGGAGGTAGGCCCTGCTGGAGGAGGATCACTGGAGATGTGCCCTGAAAAGATATGTCTTATCCCCGGCCCCACCTCACTTGCTCTTTTTGCTTCCCAGATCCCAGAAGGTGAGCAGATGCTGTTTAATAGTCTCTGTGATTTAATAATACTGTGATGCTGTTTAATAATCTCAGAAACAACAGAGCCTAGTGACTATGGATTGAAACCTCTGAAACTGTGAGCCACAGTAAACCTTTCCTTCCTTGAGTTCATTTTTTAAGGTATTTTGTCACAGCCATGGAATACTGACTAACACAGGTATCACAGGTATTCTGGAGGCAGAAGCTCTTACTAAGTGGGTCTGTATTCAAGACAACACATACATCACCTTTCTGCTCGGCCAGCTCCCACAATTCCTGAGCTGCTGCTAAAGACAGCGTCATGGGATATTCCACAAGGACATGCTTGCCAGCATTCAGGAACTTCCTTTGGGAAAGGAGAAATACAGGGAAAAAACATTAAAATAAGCTTCACTGAAATGCTCTGCATGAGAGAGAACAGAAAGCTGTAAATGCAAGAGAGTCTCTGTAAATATATCATGATGGGGCCAAGAGTCAGTGTCAGAGAATATGGAGGAAGAATATTATGGATTGTTTTTTTCTAGTACTGAAGATTCAACCCAGATTCTTGCACATGCTAGGGAAGCACTCTACCACTGAGGTACATCCCCAGCCCTTTTTAAAAGTTTTATTTTGAGACAAAGTCTTACTAAGTTGCAAAGTTATCCAGGCTGGCCTGGAACTTGAATCCTTCTGCCTCAGTCTACGGTATAGCTGGGATTATAGGTATATACTACCACACCTGGCTGGATATTATTATCTTGATAGTAGGGTATAAGTATTTACAAGCACAAAGTTATATGATCACTTTTTTAAAGAAAATAAACTCTGGTGCCAGAGAACTTTAAGGGAACCCATGGAACAGCACAGTAGTAGCAGCTGGAGTTCTGTGTAAGAATCTACTCAGGAATTCAGCTGGACTTTCCTGTTGGCTGCCAAGTTCTTTCTGGGATTCCTTCTTCTGCATTGGGTCACACCAAATGCTTAAAAGGCTCTAGGCTAAGCATTCACACATTTCATTTCTCTCCTTCCCTACAAACAATGCATTTCCCTTGTTCAATGACACTACTATCTCCTTACTCATTTGTCTCATAGCAAAAACATTTCATGGTAAAGGAACTTAGGAGATATTTCACAACACTGAAAATGCAAAGGATAAAATGTTGAAAGTTGGCTGGGTGTGGTGGCACATGCTTGTACTCCTAGTGATTTAGGAAGTTGAGGCAGGAGGATTGCAAGTTCAAGGCCAGCCTCAGCAAGTGAGGCCCTGTCTCAAACTAAAATAAAAAGGCCTGGGGGGCTGGGGTAGTACCTCAGTTGTAGAGCTCTTGCCTAGCAAATGTGAGGCACTGGGTTCAATCCCCAGCACCACATAAAAATAAATAAAAAATAAAGGTACTGTGTCTACAACTAAAAAGAATACTAGGAAAAAAACAAAAGGCTTGGAGCTGTAGCTCAGTGATAAAGCAACCCTGGGTTCAATCCCCAGTACCAATAAATAAATAAATAAATAAATAAATGTTGAAAGCTGATCTGAACTTAGAAAGGAGTATAACAATTTGCCAAGGATGTTGGCTCTGTATCCTAACCTGTGTAATAAGGAGGCAAGCTCTGTTCAAACTACTTTCAATGGGGTTTTTCACAAAGAAACACTTGAATTCTTAATGTTTCAAATTACGTGTACTAAGTTAATATTAGTTTTACTATTTTTTCATTTCTTATACATTTATAACTGAAAACAAGATTTTTTTTTTTAACATTTTCACAATTATTTTTAAAGATCACAGAATAATTTCCCCCATTGATTATTAAGACTCATGTGCAGGGCTTTATTTTTTTCACATTTTTAATGTAAAGCAAAGACTACCTGCATTAAAAAAAAAAAACCTACCTGAAGCTGGGGTGTGGCTCAGTGGTAGAGCACTTGCTAGCACATATGAGGTTCTGGGTTCAAGCCTCGGCACTGCAAACAAGCAAACAATAACATCCAAACCCCTACCTGATGTAGTCCTCATGACTGGTGCTTTCGCTGCAGATGTAGGCAACCTCCACTTCTTGGCTGGAAAGAGCATCTTCCAAAGATATCTGCTGCACTTCATCAATGCTCCCAAGGTCCCGTCTATTTCAGAACAACCAATAAATAGAACTCAAAAGTAGGCAGGATGTCAGCTTAAAATAAATGAGTGCCATCCTTCTTTCCTCTTCTCAACAAAGTCCCAGCGACTGGCTTTTGGAAAAGAAGAAGCTAATCTCCATCCCTCCCATTTCCGTTGTGGAGCCTCAGGGTTGAAGTCAGGGGACTTGGCACAGAGTGCCAATACTACCAGTAACAGTGTGCAAGACCTGGAAAAGTCTGAATTACTTCTCTGAAGTTTGAAGGAGGAGAGAAATCCCTGAAAGGTTGCTGTCACAGAGCAATATGGGGCAGCCATCAGGAAGCTCCAACCAATAGCCACTGCAGCAGACAGAGGGAATTCAGGCAAATTCCACTCCCAAGGGATAGTCTGCTAGATTTCTCCCACAGGGTCATCCAACCTACACTGCTCCATCTGATCAGTATTTATTGTTTGTCTACTGTGTGCTGGGCACTATAGGAGAGATCATGGAAAATAAAGCAAAATTCTCATCTTCCAATTAGCTAATAATTCTAGTAGAGGGAAGAAAACAAACACACATACACACTCACCACCACCATCACCACCACTACCACCACTAACATGAGAAATACGCTCGGGAGCAGGGGTGGTAAACCCAGGGAAGGCAAGGAACACTGCTAGTTTAGGGTTTCAGAACAGGCTTTCTGGATAGGCAGTACAGCTTAGCAAGTAGGTGATGGGGAGCAGTAAGTAGGTGATGGGTAACAGCAGGGGTACAGTATAGCACAAGTGTGAGCTAGCCATCTTCCTACATGACTTGGATAGTTGAGGAGTTTCCACTCTCTCTCTCATAACAACCAAGTGGTAAGGATAAGGAATTAAGGGGAAAGGAGAATTTCCATTTCAGTTTTGAGCCCAAGTGTCATGTTCAAATCCCAGCTTCAGGTAGGAGTGTAGTAGAGTGTGCTATAACTTTGATCTCCCCACTGTGTGCAGCTCCCTTGGACTCTGAGAGGAAAAGCTTGGTTAAGAGCATATTCCAGAACTTCTAGGGCTCCCTTGTGTCTTAAAGCCCACTCTAAATCCTTAGTATAGTTTTTTAAAAACTTATATATGACAGTGGAATGCATTACATTTCTTATTACACATATAGAGCACAATTTTTCATATCTCTGGTTGGATACAAAGTATATTCACACCAATTCGTGTCTTCACACCTGTTCTTTGAATAATAATGATCATCACATTCCACCATCATTTCTAACCCCATGCCCCCTCCCTTCCCCTCCAACCCCTCTGCCCTATCTAGAATTCCTTTATTCCTCCCATGCTCCCTCTCCCTACCCCATTACAAATCAGCCTCCTTATATTAAAGAAAACATTTGGTATTTGGTTTTTTGGGATTGGCTAACTTCACTTAGCATTACCTCCTCTAACTCCATTCATTTACCTGCAAATGTCATGATTTTATTCTCTTTTATTGATGAGTAATATTTCATTGTGTATATATGCCATTTTTTTATGCATTCATCTACTGAAGGGCATCAAGATTGGTTCCACAGTTTAGCTATTGTGAATTGTGCTGCTATAAACATTGATGTGGTATGCTGTTTTTAAGTCCTTTGGGTATAGACCGAGGAAAGGGATAGCTAGGCAAATGGTGGTTCCATTCCCAATTTTCCAAGAAATCTCCATACTGCTTTCCATATTGGTTGCACCATTTTGCAGTCCCACCCGCAGGGTATGAGTGTATCCTTTTGCCCCACATCCTCGGAGACCCTGCGTCTAATAAAAGAAAAAGGAGGCCCTAATCTCCATCATGTGGGATTAGGCCCCAACTTCCTTAATAAGACTTCTTTGGCACAATAATTAAAATCAAGAATCAATAAATGGGGTGGACTCAAACTAAAAAGTTTCTTCTCAGCAAAAGAAACAATCCGTGAGATGAATAGAGAGCCTACATCTTGGGAGCAAATCTTTACCCCTCACACATCAGATAGAGCACTAATCTCTAGGGTATATAAAGAACTCAAAAAGCTAAGCACCAGGGCTGGGATTGTGGCTTAGTGGTAGAGTGCTTGCCTAGCATGTGCGAGGCACGAAAATGGGTTCGATTCTAGCACCACATACCAATAAATAAATAAAATTTAAAACTTCATCAACAAATAAAAAAAAAAAAAAAATATATATATATATAAAGCTAAGCACCAAAAAACAAATAATCCAATCAATAAATGGGCCAAGGACCTGAACAGACACTTCTCAGAAGATCATATACAATCAATTAACAAATATATGAAAAAATGTTCATCATCGCTAGCAATTAGAGAAATGCAAATCAAAACCACTCTAAAACTTCATCTCACTCCAGTCAGAATGGCAGCTATTTTAATATAGTTTTAAGACAGGCAGACTGGAAGAAAATGGTCCCATGAATTAAAATGAGAAAATCTCTGCATGGACCACCACAATAATTACTTATGCTTCTAAAGCACTAGAAATAGAGATTTGCATAAATTGTTGCCATGTCTCCATGCTTAGCCCAGTGCCTGGATCTAATTTAAAATTGTGTTGATAAATGATGTTACACAGGATTATCTTGCTGAGTAGTATGTGTGTAGGGGGAAGATTTGAGAAGAAACTTCCCTGACCCACACTCAAAAGGTGATAAGATGTTACGTTTGCTTTCCATTGTGTTATAGGAAATAAATGAATCCTTAAGAAAAGTGGGCCTCCAAATTATCAATGGGAAAAGAACACACAGTGTTTAGAAGATGGGCTTTGGAATCAAACAGACTTGCATTCAAATCTAGCTCTTAAGATTTTCTAGCTGTGATCTCAGGCAAATTACTCAGACTTTCTGGGACTCAGTTTCCTTATCTGTAAACTGAGGTTGTACTTAGAATATAATAATGTAAGAAAAGCTCAGGGCCACCATAGAGTGGGTGCTCTGATGACTGATGTAATGATCAATTAGCATACACCTAAAGCCTTTTTTGGACAAACCTACCATGTGTTCACTGTGCCCCTTCAGTAATGGAGACCTGTGCTCATATTTTCTGTCTGTCTTTGCAGTCCTCATGAGGCACCTACTGCATGTCCCAACTGTAAACCCAGCACTCTTTGGTTGCCTACCCACCCAAACTCTAGACCCTGTGGAGCTGACATGGTTCTCTTGATTGGAGGTGGGGGCTGGCTCTCCCTTCCCAAGTCTGGGAAATCTGCAGCACATGCTATGGCCTTATCTCTCACTGTGCTTTCTACAAATTATGAGGCACAAAGCAAGCGTGAGTCACCTGGACACGAAACCGATCAAGTTCAGAAACGCTGAGGAAGGATGTGGATTCCGCAAGTCCCTTATCCTGACAGAGCCGGCTCTGCCAACACCAACCACCACCACGCCAAACTTCTTCTCGGGCTGAAACACAAGGGATCGAGGTAGAGTTTGAAGACATTCCAGGCATCTATCAGAGAACAACAAAATAAAGGACCAGTCGGGGTCCTGACAAGCAAGTAAAGCTGCCAACCCCGAAAACCTAAGAAGCCACAACTCTCAGGGTGGGATAAGACACTCCTGGAAATGTGGGTTCAGTGATAAGTCAGCTCCACCCAAAACATTTTTCTGAGGTGGCTTCAACTATGTGTTGAAAACTTTGTGAACACCCAACAGAAAGGCTTCCATTTGACTCTGCCTTCTTACTGCCACCTCTTCAATGAGGAGGCAGTTTTCCACTTTAAGTCACTAAGTCTCTGTCCTCCTGAATATGAGAACCTGATTATCTGGAAGTCATTCAGAGGCTATAGATGCTTAGTAAGACGCTGGGAGATGGGGGCAAAAGGGCAAGACGTGACCTGTCACCTAACTCAGATTCAGATCCCACAGGGTTTAACCCCTCATCGTCCCCTGGGTTCCAACCAATTCTACTGTAGTACTTTAAGATCTCTTAGGTATACTGCTGGAAGCTGTATGTAAATTTATTATTGAAAAGTGTCAAGTCCACTTTTTAATATTATAGAGCAAGTTAATATAATCCAAACTGATTAAAAACGATCTCTAATAAAAATACACATTCCTTGAACCCAGTTCTTGAACGTCTGAGCATGGACACATGGATGTCACCTCAGACCGGACCCTTTCCTCACCTTTGAGATCCACATGTCACCACTCTCCACTCATTCTTCTCCTCTTCCTGTGCCTACTGCTTTAGTCTTAGTTCAAGAGTCCTTCCAAATGTCTGGAGTTTTTCTAGATGTTGTCCTATTGTTTTTCGTTTAATTCCATTGTGGCCAGAGACCATTCTTTAAATGATCTGAATCCTTTTAAATTTACTGAGATATTTTTTAGGATCAAGGAGATGGTCTATCTTGGTGCTGGAGTGTGGCTCTAGAATGTCTCTCAAAGGGCCATGTGTTAAACTCTTAGTTCCCAGTTTGGTCTTCACTATTGGGAGGTGCTGAAAACTGTAAGTGACGGGGCCTAGCAGGAGCTCTTCGCTGGGGGTGGTCCCTTAAGAGACTCTTGTCTCTTCCTTTCTCTCTCTTCACATCCTGGCTGGGAAGTGAAGAGCTCTGCTCTGCCCTGTGCTCCCTGCCGTGGTGTGCGGCCTTGCCACAGACCCAGAGGCAACAGGGCCAACTGATCATGGACTGAAGCTCCCACACTGCGAACCCAAATAACCCTTCTCTCTCTGTTGTAGTTTGAATCTGGAACGTGCCCCAAAGACTTATATGTTGAAGAATCGGTCCCCAGCTGGTGGCGTTATTGAGAAGTGGTGGAAACTTTAGGAAGTGGGGCCTGGTTGGAGAAAGGAGGTCACTGAAGGTATACCTTTGAAGGGTATAGCTTGTCCCTGGCCCATTGCTTTCCCTTTTTTTCTTTCTGATTTCCTGGCCACCATGAGGTAAGGATCTTTGCTCTGCCACATGCTCCCCACTGGGATGTTCTGCCTTGCCACAGGCTCAGAAACAATGGAGCCAAGTGAACATGGATTGAACTCTCTGAAACCATGAGCTAAAATAAACCTTTCCTCCTTTAATTTGTTTTTCTAAGGTACTGTGTCACAGTGATGGAGAACTGACTAACTCTATGAGCTGATTTATTTATTCTGGGTATGTTATAGTAATGGAAAGCTTAACTAACATACTTGGTAATGTTTAGGGCACACTTGAAAAGAACATACTTTTTCTGCTAATGTTTGGAGGAGAACAAATGCTCTATAAGCCTGTTGGATCAAGCTGGCTAACTGCATTGTCCAGGTCTTCTATATTCCTGATTCTCTACTTGTTCTATCAATTATTGAGGGGCAGAAAACCTATGAACACAATTGTCTTGTAGATCTGTGTAGTTATTCTTTCAGTTCTATCAGTTTTGACCCACATATTTTGAAGCTCTATTATTAGATATTTATTTGTTTAGGATGGTTGCTATATCTCTTGATTAATTGACTCTATCATTCTATAATGACTATTTTTATTCTTGATAATTTTTATATTATTATATCCTGATAATTTTTTGTCTGATATTAACAAACATTCCCAATTTTCATTGAATAGTATTAACATGGTACATTTCCCCCATCCTTTTACTTTTAAAATGTGTTTTTACATCTAAAGTGGGTTTATTATAGATAGCATATATTCAGGTCTTGCATTTTAATTCACTATAACAATCTCCACCTTTTATCTAAGGTGTTTTGACAATTAAATTTGGATCATTGATATGGTTGGGTTTCAATCTAAATCCAATCCAAATCTTGCTAATTTGTCAAATTGCCAATCTGTTCCTTCCTCCCCCTTCTTCTGCCCTTTTTTAGATTATCAGAGTACTTCTTATGATTCTATTATATCTCAATTTTTGGTTACTTACAAAAAAAGAACTGTAATTTTTTTAAGAGGCCACTTAAAGGATTTTTTATTGTATATACTTTACTCTTTACTTATCACAGTCTTCCTTAAAGTAATATTACAACACAACATATGTAAGAACCTTGCAATAGTATTCTTGGATTTCCTCTTTCATGAACTTTGTATTGTTATTACATAATTAACTTTGACATTTGTTATAAACCCCACAAGATACCAGACAGGGTTTTATCTGGAAAAGAGAAAAGATTTTATATGTAGTCATGTGTCACTAATAATAGAGATCTGCTGAGCAACGCACTGTTGGGTGATTTCATCGTGGTGCAAATACCAGAGTGCACCTACACACACCTAGATGGTATTGCCTACCGCACACCTAGGCTCTACGACATAGGTACCATCATATATGCAGCCCATGGTGAAACTGAATGCCATTATGCAGTACATGAATGTATTCCAAGCTAAAGATTAAAGGCTTACATAACCTTTGCATTTCCTGGGATGTTAAAGCTAGAGAAGCCAACACTATCTTCCTGCCATATGGAAACAAACCAAGTGATTCTCCAGAGTCTACCCAGAAGCAAAGATATCTGGAAGGCACATGTAGCCTCTCTGGGCCTATAGCTTGGGAGGGAATGATTCCTGAGCTTGAGGGCCAGTGGACACTAAGCCACAGTGCTGGCTTTGGCTCACACACTGACTGGCACTGATCCTGTCTATGAGTAATAGTGTCTCTGTTTTCAGTTTTCCAAGTCTTCCAGGAAGGCTTCCACCTGGTCAACTTCACATATAAAAGGGGACTCTGGGAAACATAAGTCCAGGCTTGTCTTCTGCCATAATACCCAAATGACAATAGGCAATTTAACCCAGTGAATCCCTTTTGAGTTCAGTCTAGTTGTTTTTTGACAGTTTCATTACCAAAAAAGCAGCGAGACAGTCTCTGAGAAACATGTCAGCCAAAATACATTTCCCTGATTAAACATTTATTTCCTTTTTAACAAAGAAAAGGAGACAAGCAATTCCCTTCATAGGTTAAATATTTATGGCATTCCTAAGATTAACTACTGAATTACTATATTCCAGGATAATGAGTTTCTGCTAGCTAAAACAAAACAAAACAAAACAAAAAAACTACAAGGTTAATAAACAGTTCCATTATCTATGAATAAGCCAAACTGCTTTCTTCATCTTATTAACTAACTTGTGCACAGAACCTGGCTTGTATAGTGTGCCAGATTGCACTATGAACTGCTTCTGGGTTTGGTTTAGATATTGTTCTCCAAGACAAGATATGGGAACAAGATGTGGAAAATACTGATTTCTTAACAGTTGAGTTCTTCTTAAGGAAAGAACTTTATTTTTGAGGAAAATCACTGCCAGAGCCTCTTCATCTTATGTAAGGCCTCTTCAAAGCTAAGGAAACTGCAAATCAAAGACATGGGAAGGACTGGAGGTGTAGCTCTGTAGCAGTCACTAAAACTTTGGGGCTAGAAACCAGAGGCAAAGAGGAGGAGAGACAAGTGTAAGGAGGGGAAATGCACACAAGTTGTGAGGAGGCTAAAGTCTGCAGAGAAAGTAACCAGTAAAAATGCCCCACAGAGGAGAGAGCAATGGAGTTCCAGAGAGCAGAATGTCTAAAATTCCATTTGTAGTTGTCTTCTGCTGTCTTAATCATCTTGTAAAACACCACTATGGAGGTGGTATTTTAAGAAATAAAGAAACAGGGGTAGTTTTGAGATAGGGACACATCTAAGGGTCAGTAAAGTGACTAAAAAAAAAATAAATTCAGGATCAAATCATTTTCACAGAGTGAACTTGCTCCCTTATCCTTGGACAGAGAGACTGGTGTTTGGCACTTCCAGATCTGAAAATAGAATTCACAGAAAAGTTAGGATTCAGAGAGTGCATTCTGCCAATTTAGAAAGATTTTTGAGGTGAAAAGTTTAGAAGAAAATAAAAAATCACTGTAGAAGAAATTTTAAGGTGTGAGACATGAAGGCCGGTACCAGACCACTATTCTGGGAAGGGGAAAGACAATTTGAAACAAGAAAAAAAAAAAAAAAAAAAAAAAAGCTAGTAGTTTTTCATCCATTGTTTTCAAAGATGAAAAAGCATCTGGTTGGGCGAGGGGAAACAAGCACAGTCACAGGTTGCAGAAGGGAGAGTGCTACGCTTTGGATCTGAAACATCATCCAAATGCCCATGTGCTAAAGGTGTGGCCCAGCCTGTGGTGCTACTAGCAAGAACTTTTAAAAGGTGGTACCTAGTTGAAGGAAGGTAGGGCCCTGGGGAAATACCCTTGAAGTGATTATTGGGCCCTCTGCCCCTTTGGGTCTCTCTGATTCCTGGCTACCATGAGGTGAATAGGCTTCCTCTGCCACATGTTCCTGCAATGGTGTACTATGCTGCCATAGGCCCCAAACAATAAGGCCAAGCAAACATGGACTGAAACTTCTAAAACTGTGAGCCAGAATAAACCTTTTCCTTTAATTAACTTGATTTTTTTCAGGTATTTAGTCATAGCAACTAAAACTAGCACAGAGAGATAACAAGCAA